TTATTATTATTATTATTATTATTATTATTATACCTGTTGTTGTTATGACTACTATTATTATTTCTTTTTGAAAGATAGATTAAAAAAATTCAGAGACAGCCATGTCTATAAGAAAGCACGTTTTTGTGGTTTCTGATCTTTATTATTATTATTATTATTATTTTATTTCCTTTGATTTCTGTTTTATGCTTATTCCTTTCCGGGTCCCACCCATAGACCTAAGTTCACAAATCGCATCATGACATTTTCCACTGAGCATTCTTTTTAAATAACAAACCACCGCACTCACAAATCCCAGGATCACACACATTTTACATAGATAATGCCGTTTTTTTATGGTGTGTGCTGCAATTGTGAGTACATTTTTTATTTATTTATTTCAGGTTTGGACAACCAGGAATCCATTCTGAGACTATCGGAACATTTTACAATGGAAACGAGGGCGCCAACTACAAATGGAATTTTTTATGTCCCCACTTGCCGCACATTTGAGCTTGCAAGGCCTTTGTACTTTGTTAGTTTTTTTTTTAAGATCTTCAAAGATACAATACTGTGACGTCGTCCCCCGGTCGCAGCGCCGACTGTGACGTTCTATCCTGATCTAGCACGGCGCCAGTTGTGACGTCCCCAAACAGCACCAATTGTGACGTCCTCGCCGCGGCGCCAGCTGTTCGCTCCTCGCTGCTCCGTTCGGGTGTCGCTGCTCCAAACGTGACGTCCGCCTGTCGCGTCAGTCGTGTTGTCTCGTCCTGTGACGACCAACTGTCTTGGTATCCGTCGCGGCACCCAAATGTGACGTTCTAACCTTTTGGTGATTCGGGTGGGAATCTGGTTAGATTTGATATCAGCCTCGTCGTTCCCAACTCGCTTCCAACGCCTGGTTACCAAGGTAACTGCATTGATCTCCAGTCTGCCTACCCACGTTGTGAATTGATCTTAGGCAGACGAGATCAAACAGTGGTTGGGGCCGTAATGCAAACTGAGTTCAACGGGGTGATACCATACAAATATGCATAAAAGAAAATAAAAGGAAAACTCAAAAAGTTCAAAGTATCAAAGAAAAAGGTAACAAACTTTATGTCTAGTTGTTCGATACATAGGACTGCATCTATCTCCCGACCCGTTCTATGGATGTGACACGTCGTTTTCCGTTAGGCAAGTTTTAACGCTTCAAGTTGTTTGCTCTCTAAGAAATTGGCGTTTCGGTGTGTCTTTGGACGAAAGTCGAAAAAAAAAACTTATTTCGGTGGTCTGGATCTAAGTCGCTCTTCAAAATAATTGTTCTTGGTTTGAAGAGGAGTCCGGAATTTGCGTGAATCTTGGTCAGCTGAACTCACTGGAACTGCTGGAACTCAACTCTGGAAACTCCACTCTCCGCTGGAGCCCGAACTGATTTCTGCCCGCAGGGGCTTCGCTTTTATGGACGCCGACCAAAACCGGGGTGGGTCTGTCGGCGTCGGGGGTTCCTCGATAATTCTAAATACATATCCACCTCTTTTATTTCTGGTAAGGGATTTTCCACTCTTTTCCATTTTTGGGAACCTTTCCTCACTCCCACTTTCTCACCATACTTCTGAGGGGCGTGAACTGCCCTCCCCACTTCCTCGTAGCAGCTTCTCATACTTATACTCTGGATGGAGCGTCGACAGCCTCCTTCGTGCGTCACATGATCACCACTCGACCAGTGAGGTCTTGGTCGGGTATCTTTCCTCCTCCTTCGTGCGTCACGTGATCACCACTCGACCAATGAAGTCTTAGTCGGGCGTGGTCAATCCGCGGCTTTGTTTCGGAAGAAAAAATATCTTGCTTAACTAAAAAAATTATCTCTTCTCTTTCCCTTTTCTTCCGCTTTAATCGCCGTTATCATTTTTCTAGCTGCAAACGGGACAATATTTCAACTTCTACACGTGGTTTTGTCAGGTATTTTATCGCTAATTATCAAAATGGGTGGTCTTCTTAACACGGCCTCAAAAAAAATATCTCTAAAGTTTCAGTCAGTCTGTCGCCTCAAGGAAGAAAAAAAACACTTCTGGGTCCCCATTCATTTTCCTTCGGTACATATTTCTGATAACATAATTTTATTATCGCAGGCCAAAGTTGTTTCGTCGAAAAAAAAATCGGTCAGCGGACACGGCTTGTGTGGCTTTTAATTTTTCATATCTGTCCAAAGTCCTTTTTAGTTGCCTGTTTTTCGTCACTTATCGAAATAGCATTTTCACTTGAATTTTTCCCTGGCCAGTCGACCAGCCGTTTGTCTAGATAACACAGCCGTTATCAAAACACATCTGATTCTTTCTTTCTTTCCCCTTCTTTTTACTCAGAATTTCCCTGTCATTGTAATGACACCCTTTCGCCATTTGTTACTTATCAATATATTCATTGTCTCTTAGCCGTGTGTGTGTTTTGCTGATCACCCACGATTCGTCTCGCCTTTCTTTCTGCCTTCTTTTCTTTCTTTTCCTTTCTCTGCCTCGTAAATGGTGCCACAATACATTCAGCTGGGACTTCCATGTTAGGAAGCAATGAAAAACACATCTTTTGAATTGCAATATGCAATTTTCAGGCATCGTTTGGATAATTGTAAAAACACCTGTGAAAAATTCCAGGCCACTTCATGCCCACTTTCCCTGTAGCATCCCGATCGATTTTTGTCAAATTTTACTGTACACCAAAAAAATAGGTGTCATTTATTGTTTATTCAGATAGTAATGAATTGTACATCGGTGCCATCAATTTAATTTCAATGTTATTTAAGAGGTAAATCATATAAAAATATTACGAGTTTATAGTAAAAACTTCTTATGCGGAACCTGGGCATCATTTTCCTCGACAATAAATTTTGCCTAATATATCGCTCACTTTGTATCCCGTCATTTCGGTGCAAGCTTCAGTTATCACTTTTATCCCTCTTACAACCGCCTCAGTACTGTTTGGTCACTACAAATGTTATCTCAAGAATGTCATTAACCTTTTGATCTGATAGAGAATCAATGTAGGAAGGTTCAGTCTTGAGTTTATTCATCCAGTTTATCATGGAATGATAGATTTTTGCTTGTTACTTTAGTTTATGAGATACCAATTTTCTCATGTTGATTACAGGAGACACATCATCATTCTCATTTTCATCTTCCCTGTCCTCCTCATCATGAGTTTAGTTTAACGAATTCTCATTATCAGCAGCCGACTCATCTTCCTCCTCAGCAGATCTTTTAGTGCATTTTTCCATCAACTCTTCTCTAATTGTTCTTATCATGGAGACAGCCTTTACTCTAACAGTCATGTCCTCGTATGCACATATACCAAGAAGTTGATCCGTGTTGCAGAAGTATACATTTCTCTGGACAGTCTTCTTCACTGTAGTCTTCTTACAATCCAGGTGTTTCATATATAGCAGGTTTTGGAATACGTTCTTTGAGTCTTGTGCTACGTAAGGGTGTATCTTGATGAAGAATCACATTGGAGCACTGAACTTTTAATTGTAATGATGATTCTTTTCATACAGACTGAAAAGTCTAATCCGTAAAGTATTCTACCTTGACACACAGGAATGGCCTGGCTAAATAGCAACCAAGTCATCATAAACACCTGTAATAACTCCTTTACAATTCCAAAACCAGGACAGATCCTTCTCAACGTCTACATTCAGGAGAGGGAAATAAGTGACTGGTTGGAAGGCAACAACTGGCAGCTCAGACAAAGGCTCCTTGATATGCTTTCCAATGGGACTACGCCAATGCTCTGGGCCACTTGGTTTACCATTATAGTGATAGAAAATAGAGAAGAAAGGCAGTTCATTTCAGTGAAGATGACAGAGGAAATAAAAGAGCAAGGGATCGAGTAACTTTTCAAGATGGTTCAACATGGTTACATTGATTCCATCACTAACAACACATACAATGGGCTGTTGGGTTAGATTTGTCTCCATCAGAAACTCGTGAATAGTTTTGGCAAACTGCTTTCCGTGTCCAGTCTTGACAGTCACCTATGTGAGATATTCAGTACCAGGCTCAACCATGATGACATGATGATCTTGCACGCTCATCTTCGAACTCCATTTATGGAGAGAATAGTGAGATCACCGCCCTCTGTGGGATCAAGTTGAGATCATAGACAAAGAACATCATTGGAAAATTCGTAAACTTAAGGAATCAGCACATATCCTAGGCCACAAAAATCTCCTGATCCGACCAAGCATAGAAATGAATACAATATGGCAGCGAGTAATAAGGAGTGCCAGAGAAAGGCGGTAATAACAGTAAAAATTCCAATATGAGCTCTGGTAAAAATCATGCAATGATAACAGCACAAATTGCAATATGAGCACTGGTAAAAAGAGTTACTGAAGACATTAGGTTTATAACACGCAGAAATTCATATACAGATGTTCTCAAGGACGCATGGCCTTAGTTAGATCCAGTGATAGGACCCAAAGAGTGTGAGTTCAATACGTGGTTAAGGCGGTGGAGAACTTTTAGAGGGGAATTAACAGGAGATAACTGACATCCATTAAACATGGCACGTGGAACTAGAACAGTCTACTCCAGTGAGCGAAATAAAGGATTCAGTTTGGCACTCCAATCATCTGAAGAAGGCCGGAGCGTACAATGGCCAAAACGTTGTGATAAATATGGCGACAAAGATGAAGCCAATATTCCAAATAATGTAAATAGTGTATGTAATACATCTGATTGTCTTGTCTCTTCAATAGGTATTTTTCTCTTGCAACTGGTACCTTATGTTGTTAAATAACTTGACCCTTCTCATCGTTTGTGATAATGCCATAATCAGTTATGGCAGCAGTTCAATGACAGCTCTAGTATAACCAATAGTCAAGTATCGGTCACGAGTGGTAGCCATTGTGGGGGATCTTATCCTCTTCTGTGAGATGGCGTCTTTTAGAGCTTTTGGATCGGGGAAAAATTAGCATCAGAATTGACAGGAGGGATATCTCTTGAATTATCTAAATTATCCTCAACATAAGAAACATATCCAGCTATAATATGTCTATGCCTTTGATTAAGCTGACTTCTGGCTCTGTCCGCACAATGCTTCTCTCTGAGCGTCACTCTGTTCCACTTCATCGTCACTTTCATGTCAATGCCCGAAATTTTCACGTTCCTATTATCGCGTTGTTCAAGGAGGAACTGCAACACATGCTTGGGAACTTTTATAACACAATTACACGTCAGGTGATATTCGTCCTACTTCGTAACTTTGCACTTCACATTCTGACAAGAGACAGAGGACAGTAATAGCTACATATATCAAACAACTCCTTCATTTCTTCCCGAAATGCAGTTTTTTGCTCAGATACCTGTTCTTATAAACTTCAATTCCTCTATTATACAATTTTCTCAACTTTACCTCATTAGTTTTCTGGCTAAGAAAAGGTACACTGTCTATCTCCAAATAATTTTCCCCATATTTCTGTACACTCGTGGGTGGCCATTTTCATAAACTTTGAAGCATTTGCAAACTTTCCTTCAACATATTTATATTGCCAGCAGTTCTCACCTTTCAGGGGAAGTTTGTCCACTGGAAGAACCCTTGTAGTGCCAAACAATACATGATATGTGGCTGCCTTTGTTAATACACGTGCCATCACAATAGCAAATAGATCAGTTAACCCAATAGTCAATGAACAAAATTAAATATGATCATTGTACATTTGTACAATGTACATTATACGGCACCAACATAATATAAGTAATTTTTTAAAATGCTGCAGACTAAACCTCGATCTATCAGCTTCACATTTGAGCACCTCGAGGTGGTGTAATGGTTAGCAAGCTTGTCTCGCTAAAACAATTACAATTATTACTGAGTAGTGAGTTCGATTCTCACTACATTCGGTTTTGTGCCACATCTAAGCTACGCTTGTGAAATCACTATCAGCTTCACATTTGACATGGAGTCTTAGATATGTTTAAGGAACAATCCTTGAAAATGCAGCTTTAAGGAAAATTTCACTGCTCTCTATTGCCATGCAAATAAGAAGACATATTCTGTTTTGTGCACTCTGATCACGATCTCTGGGCGATTAGTTTTGATTGTTCTGTTTATTGTAAAGTCCCATAAAATGCTTACAGGTGTGTAACTTCGTCTGGGAAGTGTTCATAACAGTCTCTTAAAGTTTTCTTTCCGTAAAGGTGTCATATTTTCCAGCTCAGATATTAGCCCACTCTGTCATGCCGGGTTTTATATTCAGTGGGTGCCAATAACACGCAACCTGATACAAGATGATCACTTGTATATAGATATTTATTACAGAATCTGCATTTTGGGCGAACGAAATTCTTTCGATATGTGTGCTTGATAATTTCTAGCAACAAGCAGAAAGAATAAAACCTTAATTTTCAGCTTTTAACCCTGCACTACTAATGTGTACGGGATGTGTCTATATCAGCTTTTATGGTACTGGCAAAGAATTGATCATGAAGAGGCTTATCTTGCCATCGTTTCTGCATTGGGTACATCGCATTTTCTTCTTCTTCTTCTTCTTCTTCTTATTATTATTATTATTATTATTATTATTATTTCCTTTGATTTCTGTCGTTTACACATTTTTTTCCGGGTCCCGCCCAAGGTTAGAAATGGCATCATGACACTTTCCACTGACAAAAAAAAAACTACATAGATAAAGCCATTTCATTATTATTATTATTATTATTATTATTATTATTATTATTATTATTATTATTATTAATGTTGCATCATCATCATTATCATTATTATTATTATTTCATTTCCTTTGCATTTCCCTTATCAAGTCATTACCCGAGACCTTTAGCAACGTAAATTAATAAAATATGCCCTGTCTTTGCCAAAATCGAGATTCTGATTCCTAATTAATATGTAAACTGTGCATATTTTCTTTACATTGATGATACCTTCCGGCATAATTCAGCAGTTTCACAGTGATTTTTTTTTTTTTTAAAAAATTCTTTAAATACGTGTTGTCAAGAGTTTAGCTAATTTTCTTGCCTGTAACTTTCTGATCGTACGCGACTTTCCAATTATTATACTCTTTATATAGTATGAGAGTAGTTTTAATTTTCCTCATTTTTTCAAATCTTTATATTTATTTATTTTTCTTATTTTCATTATTATTATTATTAGTAGTAGTAGTAGTAGTAGTAGTAGTAGTAGTATAGTTATACCGGAAGTCACGCCACCATATCAACGTATCACGACAAAATTTTCCAAGTTTTCGTCAAGGAAATGACTTGTTTGATTGCCAAAGCGTAATTATTCATACAGGAGGTCAGTTACTAGTCAGTTCAATGGACTGCCGGGAAACGGTCACTCTTCTGTGTAGGAAGAAAGAAAGTTTGTTACAGGCTTATCTCTTCGATCGTTTCCTTCAGTAAAAGAAAACGGCAGGGGAGTAGAGGACAGGTAGAACGAATAGTCTGATTATCTATCGGCCACACCAGGCCATGCGAGGCATACCGCAGGTCACGAAAAGCCGAGGACGTACACATGCACGCTTTTCAATGACCGCCCTTGGATCCGTCTTTTGATTGATATCAAGCCAAAAGGAACACGAACGAAAGAAAAAGAATACGGGGCGCGTTAGCGGCATTACATAGAAATTTCTCTTGCCCACCAAGCAACGCATGTCGTAAGAAAAAAGAAAATAGAAGAAAAATGCCTATCTCTCCAGGATTTTTTCTTTGGAAAGAACCTCCACTCTCTCTGTATTTTTGTGTGTGTGTGTGTGTGTGTGTGTGTGTGTGTGTGTGTGTCTTTACCTGTCACCTCTTTCTCTTCGAATCGACACTGCGACCGTTTCCGGTAAACATGGTCTCACAAATTTCATTTCCACACGAAATCCTACGCGGGAAACAAAATAGCGGCCATGTGATAATGTCTGAATTTTCGCCCAACTGTGGCGAATGTTGAATCAGAGGATCGACTTTTGATTAATTAGTCTTTTTTTTTTTTTTTTTTTTTTTACTTTGTCGTGATTTTTTTTGGGTTTTTGTTTTGGTTTTTCAGTTTATTAGTGGCGACACTTCTTTCCTTATTTCTTTTGTTTATTTTACTTCGAAAAATTTTTGTTTCACATTTATTCTTGTTTCTCTGCAAAAAAAAATTCTACTTTCATGTTCTTTCTCTTTTGTCGAGGTTTTTTCGATTTTATTTTCTTTCTATGGACTAACTTCCTTTGGTTTGTCTTCTCAGATCATTTTTCGCGATTCGTTCGATGCTCTTCCATAAAAAGAAAAAAATGTAGAAAAGCATCTTTTTTCCTCTTCATCTATCATTTATCTTTTCTTCATCTTCTTTCTTTTTTCTTTCCTGAAGCACTACTCTTACATTAGTTCGTCTTCTCAAAGTCTTTCTCTCAATCTTTCGATGATCGTTATATTCTCTTCTGTCTTCTTTTCTCTTCGTTTTCTTTTCTCCGTCTTTTTATTTCTATTTCCTTTCTTTCTTATTTCATAAAAAAAAATACTCCCTTTGCCTTCATTTGTTTTCTTCACAGACCCTTACTCTCGATTCTTTCCGTGATATATCCTCTGATATTTTTAATCGAACCATTTCTTCTTAGTCGTATTCTTTCTTCTTCTTCTTCTTCTTCTTCTTATTATTATTATTATTATTATTATTATTATTATCATTATTATTTTTGTTCTATTGCTGCTGCTGCTACTGCTGCTGCTGCTGCTTTTTTTTTCTTCTTCTTCTGTTTCTTCTTTTTCTTCCTATTCCTCTCCTACTTCTCGTTCTACTTTTCTGCTTCTCTTCTTTTTCTTCTTCTGCTCCTGGTTCTACTTTTCTGCTTCTCTTCTTCTGTTGCTTCATCTTCCTCTTCTTCCTCTTCTCCTTCGTCTTCTTCTGCAGCTGCTGCTTCTGTTGCTACTTCTTCCTAATTCTCTCCTACCTCTAGTTCTGCTTCTCTTCTTCATCTTCTTCTTCTGCTGCTGCTGCTGATGCCCCGGCTTCTTCTTCTGGTTCTACTTTCATGCGTCTCTTCTTCTTCTGCTTCATCTTCGTCTTCTCTTCTTCTGATTCTACTGCTTCTGCGGCTGCTGATTCTTCTTCTTCTTCTTTTGCTTCTTCTTTTTCTTCTTCTTCTTCTTCTGGTTCCACTTTTTTGCTTCTCTTCTTCTGCTTCTTCTTATTCTTCATCTTATTTCACTCTTACTTCTACTTTTCTGACTCTCTTCTTCTGCTGCTTTATCTTCCTCTTCTTCTTCTTCTTCCTTCCTTCCTTTCTTGTGCTCTACTGATTATTGGCAAGACCCTCATTTACGGTATTAACACGGCTCTCTAAATAAAAACACGCTTTCTGACTCTACTGATTGTCAAGTTTATTCCATATTTCCCGAAATATTTTCTTCGTTTTTGCTAAATAATTGTTTTTCATTTCTTGTCCTACTCTTTCTTATAGGCTTGCACCGGTTCCCATGAGATCACTGAAGTTAAGCAACGTCGAGGCTGGTCTGTAAGTAGATGAGTGACTTCTTGGGAATACCAGGTGCTGTAAGCTTGGATGTGCGGGTGGTGTAATGGATAATGACTCGGAAATCAGTGAGCCGAGTTCCAATTCCAGTCGTGTGTGTTATATTTACTTAGGTGCAAATATTCTCAGGAAAGGTGTGAATCGACTAGTATTCCTCACAACTGTGTTGATTAGTAAGACTTGCATCATTAAATCATTATTAACTCCAAAAAATGTTTACACTCTAAAAGTGTTTTTGGCTTTAAATCACTTGCAAGGGGTTGATAAGCCGTAAAAAACAAATCAGTCTTTCTTATAATTGCTTTATCGATATATTTCTCTTATTTGATCAACTTTCCCGCTCCTTGCCCGTCTCATTGTTCTTGTTTGTTTTTCTTTAATTCATTTCATCAATCTCATATTTTTGCACAGCCCAATCTCTTCAAATTTTATTCGTGTCTTTCTTTCTAGCTTTTCATCTTACTTCAAATAACATATTCTTCTTCTTCTTCTTCTTCTTCTTCTTCTTCTTGCTCCTCCTCCTTCTTCTCATCCTCCTTCTTCTTGTTCTTCTTCTTCTCATCCTGCTCCTATTCCTTTTTCTCCTCTTCCTTCTTCTCCACCTTCTTCTTCTTGTTCCTCCTCCTCCTCCTCCTCCTTCTTCTTCTTCTTCTTCTTCTTCTGCTGCTGCTGCTCCTACTCCTTTTTCTCCTCTTCCTTCTTCTTCACCTTCTTCTTCTCATCCTCCTCCTACTCTTGTTCTTGTTCTCCACATCCTTCTTCCTCCTCTTCTTCTTCTTTTACTTCTTCTTCTTCTATTTTTCTTATTGCCTCAAAGAAACCCACAAAAACGTCACTGGCGACTTTCTTTAACTATGCTCCATATTGGGCGTTTATTTGAAAAACCCCGAACCATGGTTGGGGTTTTTGAAGTCAGGTTGGCTTGCGTGTCACCGTCCCAGCACGGGAGATCATGGCAGACCTCGGGGAGATTTAGCTCACAGTTGTTGCTTCTTATCTGTCACTTTTTATCTTTTTTTTTTATCGCTGTATCCTTTTTGTGACTTTTGTTATCGACTTTCTTACTTACCGCTTCCTTGTTGTTACGTCGTTACATCTTCTTTTTTTTATTTTTGGCTTCTACTTATGCAAACGCCTCAACTCAACGCCGCTTTCCGATTCGTGCGTTAGTTCCTCTTTTATGTGCAATTTCTCACAGAAATTGGCTTCAACTGTAATCGAAAAATGACTCTACTTTCTACACACATAATACTCAAAACTTTCATTCTTCTCATTTTATTGCTAATTTTTCATCAATCTTTTCATACGCGCTATAATTCTACGTTCTTGCTCAACTCCCTTGCTATTCCCTCGTCCTCTTCTTCTTCTTCTTCTTCTTCTTCTTCTTCTTATTTTTCTTCTTATTATTTGTATTACTCCTTTTTCTTCTCCCTCTCTTTCTTCTTCCTCCCCGTATGTCTTCTTATTCGGCATCCCTTCTGTTTCTTTTTTCTCCTTGTGCTTGTCATTCTTTTTTTTCTTCTTGTTCTTCCTCCGTCTGTTCCTCGTTCTTCGTTTTCCCCTACTTCTTCTTTTCCCTGTTTTTGTTCTTCCTCCTCGTCTTTTATACTCCCGCCTTCTCCATTCACTCTTCCTTCTTCTTCTTTCTACACCTCCTACTTCTTTTTCTTTAATCCTTCTTCTTCTCTTTTCTTCTCATCCTTTTATTTCTTTCTCACCTTCTTCTTCTTCTTCTTCTTCTTCTTCTTCTTCTTCTTCTTCTTCTTCTCTTCCTCCTCCTCCTACTTTTTGTTTTTCTTATTGCTCTTCCTTCAACATTTCTTTCATTCTCTTCGTCCTTTCTCCTTGTTTTTATATTCATCCTTTTCCATCTACTTATTTTCCATTCTCCTCTTCCTCCTCCTTCTGTATATTTACTTCTTTATACATTTAATTGTTGTTCTTCTTTCTCTTCTGCCACCTCATTCTTCTTCTTCGCTTCATCCTTCCCTGTCATATACTTCTTTTTTCTTCTTCTTCTTTTTCTTTCTTTCTTTCTTCTTCTTTACCATCTTCCTTTCTTATTTTCTTTCCTTTGTCTTCTGCGTATTTTGTCTTCACTTTCTTTTTCATTCAATATTTCGTTCTTACCTCTTATTCCCATACTTCAAATTAGTTTCTTTCTTCAAATTCATTCCTCCTCCTGGTCATTTCTTCTTCATTAGTCTCTCTTTGTAAACTCTTTATCACTAGATTCTTCTTCTACTCTATCAGTTTACCACCTAACCCATCATTATTTTTTCTTCCTAATGCTTCGTCCTTTTCTTCTACAATAACCCCAAGTCGTTTTATCTTCTCATTGCATCTCCTCTTTGCCACAGTTGCTTATACAATTCTTTATTCAACTGCACCCTCTTCTTTAACATGTCTTTCCAATTTCTTAATCTTTTGACGTTCATTTACTATCAACCATTTTTTAAAGTTATTTCATTCTTCATTCATTTTATTTTTTCCTAACACTTTATAGTTTTCTTCGAGCGGAATTATTATTATTATTATTATTATTATTATTATTATTATTATTATTCTATCTATCTATCTTCTGATTTTTGTTTTAATCGGTATCACCCCAAGGATGGCAGTAAAGCCAGTAAGACACAAGGAGTTACAGGGTGCGGAAGAATTACCAACATAAATATTAATAATCAAAGAGAAGAACAAAGAGTAATTAGGAGGACAGTAGATAGCGATTGACATTACATTTACGTTTTTACAGATTAAAGTTGGCTGGAAAGCATGGGGCAGGCCACAAACGGGAAGTGCGAGAAAGAAACTGTTAGCATAGAACTTACGGCTACGTATAACCAATTCAACTGTAAATTGATGAGATCTATCTATCTATCTATCTATCTATCTATCTATCTATCTATCTATCTCAATTATTTCGTATCTATCTATCTGGCCACTCGTATACGAGGATACCCATCTACAAAAGCGACTAACCAATCCCTATTGCAGACGCTTTCTCAGGCGCCTTTGTGTTTATTCATCACGCACATAGCCCACCTGTGGTTTATACTGCAATTAACCTAAGCAGACCTTAGTCACAGGTTCTGGGAAAATTCTAGCTTGATCAGCAATTTGAACAAGGCCAGCACACTCAAGCTCTCGGATACGATGACTTCTGACTTCGTGCTAGCACAGCTATAGTTGGCCCCCAAGGGTTCCGTCTACCCAATTTCACTTACAACGCTTTGGGCAAACCGTGGTTTTGTCTTCAAAGGTGCCGCGCGCTGGGATCGACCCCTCCAGTCCGATAGCATCAGAAAGTGTCCTTTCTGACAAACACCCACAGAGCTCACCTGTCGTTTATACTGCAACTTTGACAAATCGACCATGGTGCGATTCATTTTATCTATCTATCTATCTATCTATCTATCTATCTATCTATCTATCTATCTATCTATCTAATGTAGTTATTTTGTATATATCAAAATCTTTAACCGTTTTTTACCCTTCTTCATGTTTAATCAATAGAAATTTCCTCTGTATTTCTTTTCCTTATTTCTCATAATTTCTTTTCTTTTTCATCAAATTATCTTTCCTTATCATAATATTGGCTTTTTTTATATTTTTATCCCTTTTGCTATGTATTCTTACTATTTATTCTTGCAACCTTATTCTTTCAAAATTTTGGTAAATCAAGAAAAATTGTGCTCCCAGAATTGTGTTCTTTGAGTAGCAATCTTTTCGTCATTTAACTCAGAAAATCTATTGAAAACAGATTTCCGTCTTTATATCTTTTCTCTTTTCAAAGCTTTATCCATTAAATGTTCCAAAATTTGAGATTAGCAAAGAATTGTTTTCATTTTCCAATTTGCGCAATGTTTTTTCGTAAAATAAGCTTTTTTATCAATTAATTCTCTGAAATTTTGCATCTTCTGACATAACGAAATCTGCTACACTCAAAAGTCCGTTCCTTCTTCAATTTATTTAGCTACGAGGGTAGATCAGAATCTAAACGCAATTTTGAAATCGCGCGGTCAAAACAAGGTCAGACGTATGGACACTCTTCTCAGCGATGGCTCTATAAAATAACAACACACCGTAATTTTCAGATATACGTAAATCAATCGCCAGATGTTGGCGTAGTATATTATAAGATGTATGAGTGCGTAGAACGTTTTAAAGCGGAAATAATAAGTGTAAGGTGCGAAAGCTGATTTAGTCGCCCCTCAACATTGCGTACGGAAGAACAAATACAGATCGAGCAATCACATTATTACAACGTGCTGCAATTGTGGGCATTAGCTATGGATCTGCACAAACCATGGCGCATGGTAATGAGGTAAAGTTTGTGTACGTTGGGTGCCCAAACAAACTAGCGGTGCAGACATGTCTTCGTGATTAACGGTAAAGCTTATTTTCCGAAATTGAGAAGCTCGTTTAACGATACCGGGAGGGCATCGCCATATAGGAGACCTACGCATTTGTTCTTCAACGGAAATAAAGGTGTTGTAGGGAAATTTCTTTTTACATTTGATCTACACTACTATCTATCTATCTGTATATATATATATATATATATATATATATATATATATATATATATATATATACACGCACGTTTACGTTCATATCATTAGATGTGTGTATTCATATCATTCTTCTCATATGTATCTATATATCGATCCTTTTATATATATATATATATATATATATATATATATAAAAGAGAGATTCATATCAAGAAACATGAGAAGAATGATATGAATCTACATCTATTCATATAAGTGTAAATATATATATATATATATATATATATATATATATATATACATACATATTAAAATGGATAAGTGGGATTTATTTCTATAAAATCAAATTCGTTTCTGTTTTCTGTGCATATTTAATAATTATGCATCTCTGTACAGTTAATTATATGAAAAGTATGTTTACTCATTAGTTGGAAATACAATAAATTAAACATTTGTATGTATACGAATATTTGTTTCCCCCATTGTGTGTGTATATATATATATATATATATATATATATATATATTTCCATTATAGTCATTTTGTATGTAAGTATGTGCACATCTACTTTGTTTTATATTGACATTTTGTATTGTTTTGACCCTACTAAACTGTTCAATTCAAGTGATTGGTATTAAATATACAAACATTTTATCGCTTTGCTTAATTTTTACCTCTCTAAAGTTTTCAACGAACCCTCTTGCATTTGCTTACTTAATTCCTTTTTTTGTTTTTTTCTTTTTTTGATCGTTTAAAATATTGTATTAGTTCTTTTGAAAGACGTTTTTACAGAGGAAATCTTTGATTGACAGCAGTTTTAATAATTTCCAATTTTCTCTCTGAACATCTCAATGTTATCTCAAAACCATATAGTTGGTTGATGACTTTATTTATTTATTTTTGTTCACTCATTTCTGTGCTTACTGGCAACGAGACCTGTCCACCACTATTCATAACGTGCAAGCTGAGTTGTTCGCTGGTAGACTGAAATATAACACATATCTAAAAGCTGATGAACTATTGATGAGCCAACGGCCAGCTAACGATTGATGGGGCCTGAATAAAATCATATTGGCGAAGGTGATGGAAAACCAATCCTTTAGCAGTGCCAAGAAAATACATGGGATTGCACAGACTAAATATGAGAAAACAGAGTGAATGAAGTTAAATCCATTTGGATGTACATCTAATCCGGTATAGAAAAAAATTGATACAGATATCAACAGACATTTTTTTTTGTTGTTGTTTGTTCCACAAAATATCAACACCTTATGGGTTATTTAAATGCCATAATTTTATTTTCTCGTGAGCATTAATAATTTATTTTACAAAAATGTATTGCTGAAAAAATATATATATATTTTTTTTATTTTTCAAGAATTTATTACTGATTATTTTTTGTTGTTTTTCACGAATGTATTGCTGTTTTTTTTTTTCTTTACAAAAATGTATTGCTGGTAATTTTTATTTTTTAACAAAATATGTATTTTTGGAAATATTTTCTTTTTTTCAAAAATGTGTTGTTGGTTCTATGCATCAAAAATGTATTGCTGGTTTACGGAGTGTTGTTAACTTTCTTCAACAATGTATTGCTGGAAATTCTTTTACTATGAAAATATATGTTTTACGCTTTCAAAGTGTTTTGGCCCCAATTTGTGGGCTAATTATTTGACCCTAACAGATGCCGCCACCACGGGTCAGGAGGTACCCGGGAATAACAGTCATTAGGAGGTAGTTCCATGCTTCTCAAAACCTCCTGATCAGAGGTCGTGCAGCCGGATGTGGTTTACCGTAATAACCAGTATGATCACTGGACCGTCATCTAGAAACTGTTTGAAACAGAGAAAAACAGAATTATGGATCTGGAATGTAGGAACATTACATCAATATTACGAACTAGAAAATATCAAGCAGAAAATATAATGGAGATTTAATAAGAGATCATCCCGGGATCATCTATGCGTGCATAAATAAACATGAAATATCACTAGGCCTCGTATGAGGTCAATGCATGAAAAAATATATTCTGGGATATTGTCATCTGTCAATATTTATTAAAGTAGTATACGCACCGACAGCACAAAGCATGGAGAAAAACGTTTTACAGAACATTAGAAAATATTAAGTTTCAATACAAATGGCAATAAATTTGCATCGCCATGGGAGAGCTAATGACCTAAAAAGAGGTTTCGTTAAAGACACTGTAACAAGAAATGTAATATTTATTATCTAAATATCAGTGAAAGCAATAAAAATGCAGAAGGTCGTATACATATGCTTCATAGATTACTTTTGTAACGTACGATGGCTGTTAATAATTAAGTATAACTCACGACTTCAATGTTAAAATAAAATAGTATATAATTACAACCGCAAATAAATACTTAACAAGAACAGAGAAATAAAAGTAAATCAAAGATAATTAACCTTTTCAGCGAATACCTTGTTAGTAGATCGGCTCTTCTTAACATCCGGTAAATCCTAAATCAAAACCCAAATCATTGATGCGCAATAATTCACACTAATTCGACTGGATATTTCTACTCAATAATCACTCGATAATCGCTCAATAACCACACGATGATCACTAAATATTCACTCGATAATCACTCAATATTCACTGCAGTCAGTAGCCTAACTAACACTGCTATTTATACACCTGATGGAAAACATATATTCATAAGTCCAGATTGTGACGCTTGAACCTCGGTGTCGGTAATGTATGTGTCATTTTCTTGCTATAGGACATCTACGCTAAACTATTTGATAAGGTACGAAAAGATCTATTTTAACGACTAGGAAATCTTATCTAATAAAAATATTAGCATCATTCAGAATAAATAGTGGGAGAAAACCTTTTGCATATAGATAGTAAATGAATAAAATGCACCAAAACAGAAATGGGGGTAAGGCAAGCATGTATCTTCTCACCGGTTTTATTAAACTGTTGAAGCAGGGAAATGCTGAGAGAAGTAGACGTTTTACCAGGATTTCTCATTTGGCGGCACTATATTAACAAATTATGATAAGAAAATGATACTGTGTTTTTGGAAGCCAAAACGAAAACTGCAGGAATTCCTAGACAAGCTAGTTAGGGAAAAAATGTACTAAACACCAATTTTAAGAAGACAGAATGTAAGATTGTCAGGAAAAAGAACAAATCATGATGCAAGATGCAAATTGCAGATGTTCAAATTAAACAAGTACGGAAATCTAAGTCTGTATAATGGCTTATAGAAAATGTAACTCCTAAATCATGACTTCAAAAGCTAAACGAAGCACAACCCCCACCCCAGCAAAATATCGTTAGAAACAAAGGAAAAGTGTTCAACTACGATGTTATATATGTCATCCTTAATGGTAGAGTGCTGAATAAATTTCCTCATAGATGAAAAGGAAAACTAAGATAACATAGATGAGGTTCTACAGTAGGATGCTGAGAATACCATAGACGAAACATGTGAGCAATTATTTTTTTTTGAAGAAATTGGCAACCAAAAGAATATTAGAATCTGAAAGATACATTTAAAATATTGGGGACATTTTATGAGGAAATAAGAAGAATTTGCCAAACAGATATAGTGAAGACAATATAGGAAAAAGAAAACAGCGAATAACATACATAAATAAATGACAGAAAAGGGAGTTGGAATAGTAGAATATATATATATATATATATATATATATATATATATATATATATATATATTGCTAAGAACTATAAAAGATGAGAATTTGTGTAGAGCCTATATTTTGAAAGGACATGACACAAAAAAGGACGATTATAGTTTTTGATGTAATGTACACTGCTCGACCTATTATCTAAAATTGATCAACGCCCCAAACATCAGGTTTCTTTGTGGATAATCTTCATCGTTGTAAGTAATTTTCAGCATCCCTTACACGCACACACACACACACACACATATATAT